TTTTGGGGACATTAAATCTTTCATTTCCAAAGATGCCACATAGGATGCTGTGCTTTCTGCGGGTATGGTATCTGCATTTCCAACCCTTCTTTAAAAGGAGCGGACGGGGCCAAGGGACAGATTCCCCAGCCTCATCAGAGTATCTGCATGGAGCGTGCTCTGTCCCCTTCACTGTCTGGCTTTTACGCAGCCCTGAATAGGTAGCCCCACGATGGATCGGTAGCCCAACGATGCATCGGTAGCCCACACGGTGTGGGTCGCTGCGCCTGCCCGGGGTCTTCAAAGCTGCCATCACAGCTGCTCATGGCACCAGCCTGGCACTGCATCACTGAGCTTGAGGAGCAGAGGAGCCTGGAGTTGTTCTTTCACTCATGCCCTTCACCACCCATAGTGGAAGTGCATTCACACCTAGCCCGGGCAAGGTTATAGACACAGATAAACCCGCGCCATCACCCCCTTTTAACAGACAGCTGATTTCAATGAGATTTTGGAATTTGATGCCCAACTTAGACCCACTTATGGGGAGATTTTGTCGGCAGAGAATAGATGAGAATTTGGAGCATGAGCTGCTTTTCTGAAGGTGCATTTGCAACACAGCAAAGCCTGGGCTGACAGAGGCCACGCTGAAGTTTGCAGGACATTAAGAGGGTCCTTGGTGCGTTGTGAACGTGGGGTTACACGGCGGTTTAGCCCAGTTCGATAGTGCTGGTTGGTTTTTTACACCAGATGGAAGTGTGGGCATTTGGCGACACATGCCTTTGTGTAGGCCAAGGCTGTCGGTTGCATAAGACCAGTTGTGGTTCCATTGATGTGACCGTTTTTCAGGCTTTGGCCTGTATCGGTGGCGTGTCCTTCGCAAAGGGAGCGCTGCCTGGCCTGGGGTGGTCTGAGCTTAGCCCCCGGGGCATGGCTGCCCACAAGAAAGGGAATTACTTTAGGAAATGTACTTTGGTACATCCTCAGAATCATACCTGTGAGCATTCCCAAATCTTAAAATGTAAGAATCTTTTCTGGGCTCGTTTTCTGTTCCGTGTTGCAACAAAAAGTAACGTTCAGGTTCTGGTGCTGACCTGGTACTTGCTTGGTCTGCTGGTTGTGTGCGTGGTTCGGCTTGTCTTTTTGAGAAGGAGAAGGTCAAAATCTCTGTCTCCTGGCCTCATGGTTTGTTACTGTAATACTTAATCGAGGTAGAAAATCGGATGTGACATGTCAGATGTGGGCCTGGTTGGCTAGAGGCCAAATTGGGCTGCTCCATTTCAGTTTGCCTTAAAATGGCTGACGTTAAAGTTCATGTGCCCAAATTTCCCTTTGGAATGTAATTCTGACATTTTTAAAGTAATTTTATAAATCTTTCTGTATCTGTTTTCCCTCAAAAATCAATTGCTTCAGAAAACAACAGTCCAAAAGCTTAAATAAGTTCATGTAGCATTTCTGGGCCCACTTTGTATGATGACGTTTCTTACATCTCTGGATTGGAGAAAATGTATATTAACAAATCACTTTGCCCAGCACAAAGCCCATTTGACAACAAATTATTAAGTTGCCTACAATGTAAGAAAACTGAATAGGAAATAAGGAAGCATTTATTTTAGTCTTCTAGGGTTTGGGTTCAAGTTTTTTGTAAGTCATTTATGAAGATGGCAAAAAAAGTTACATCAGATTTTCAGTATTTCTTTTGCAACTTTTTATGTTTCATTATTTGGCAAAGAGAGAAAATGAAATAAAATCATCCATATTTGAGCCAATACCAAGGTTTGCTGGCTGCTGTGGCTGGGTTGGAAGTGTCAGAGTGGGGTATATTGTTGCCTGGAATCTGTCCTAGAGTGGGATGTAATCGGTGAGTCATATGAAGAGAAGATTTTGTGTTCTGTATCTAGTCTTGTTCCACATCTAAGTATCTTCCTGCAGTTGTGAGCAAATTTGCTTCTGCCTCTCTGAGCGTCAGGAGGCTGCACAAAACAAGGAGAGTGCAGCACTGACCTGCTTTGGATATTTTATAGGTGTAAGTTTTGATGGGTTCATGGCACAGCCACAGTATTTCTGCAAAGGGGGACAGAAGTGTTATCAGTGGGATGTCCAAGCAGATAGAAATATATAGAAGAGCAAAAATCTGATCAAGTGACTACAGGTTGTAGCCAGAAGCCTTCTGCTTCATGAGGTTCAGAGATGAACAGATGAACCTCCATTTCTTGACTAATAGCAACATGTAGTGCCTCGGTATTTCACAGCCCAGGTGTGGAAACTGCTAGCACGATTGCATTCTTCCGTTGAAAATGGAACCTAAATACATAGTGGGGTTTCTAAAGCACGTAGTGAGAGGCAATTCCAGCCTCAACCAGCAGATGATCTGTGTAAACAAAATGGGAGAGTGGATGGAAGGAAAATCGTCGGAGGTCATCACGGCAGTTCAGAAACTATGAGTCCAGCTGAAGTGCTTTACCACTGCAGGCAGCACTAGTTCGTGAGGAATAGTGAGAAGTCCTGTGGTGGGACATGAAGTTAGAAGAATCCACGTGCTTCGCTTAGCACCTGCTTTTCTGTCCCCCTTTTTTCACCCCATTTCCATCTCGGGACGGGGGGGAGGTGGCAAAACTTTTTTTCCCTCATGCACACACCTTGTTTACTGCTTTTTTTCTAGCAGCAGCTCATGTTTTCAGATCAATACCGGCTCCTGGCAGCAAAAGGTTAAGCATCATTTCCCAGGTCTACTGCAATGTTTTGTGCTCGGAGCCCTCCTGATGGTTGGTGTCAGCTTCGGTTTAAAGGGGAAGGAAGGGGGATAGTGGAAGAAGCTGGAGACAAGCCGTGATTTCTTTAAAAACGCAAATGAGATCATTCCACTGAAGTATCTCCCCTCGACCCTTTCTAAAGCCTGGCCCTTGCTCTCCCTTTCCCGGAGCTGCTCGTTTCCCTGCGGGCCGTGGTGCGGGTCCCGCTCTGGCCGTGCTGCAGCGGGCCGAGGGCACCCTCCGCGGTGGCCACCTCCACGCCTGCCTGAACAGAATGTTCCGCAGACAGCAGAGCGCGGATGGTCGGGGGGAGGAACGGCTTTCCATGCTGAGTCTTGCCACCTGTTGCCTTTTTCATTCCAAGCCCCCCTTCCTCCCCACCCTCCACCCCAAGTTCCCCTCCCCGCACAGCTCACCATCCCCAGTGGATAGGGTTGGGATCAGTAGTCACTTGCCAAATACCTTTCTAATGCTGTCACTAAGTCTGCACAGACAGCATCTCTGAGAGCAAAAACAAATCTTTTCCAACGCATTGTCCTGCCTTTTCTACAAAAAGCATTTAGAAATGCCTTTTCTCAGTTGAGTTAGATGGGAGGGACCGTGCCACAGCCACTACAAGAGTCAACCCTAGGGAAGCCTGAAGCTGCGCCCAAAGAATCCTCTGCAAATCCGTTGAAGCTGGCATTTGGCACTGGCATGGGCTAATTTTGTACTTGGGGTTACACATATACACACCCATGTCATTCTTCTTCATCTGCTGCATATGGAAAGCTGCCCCAAGCTCCAGAGTGCCAGGGAATGTTTTGCTAAAACCTCCAGACTTGGTTTGATTATGTTACTATGCGCACGGGGCTGTAGGAGCGGGGAGAGTGGAGTGTGCTGCCAGCTGAACTGGCGTGAGCTAGCTAGTCATCGGTACTACTGCCCCTCTTCCATGGAGGCGGGAGACTGTTCGCGGACATGAGGTCATAATTTCCTCCTACTTAAGGTGCACAAAAGGGATGGCATTGCTCGTGTTACATAGCTGTTGGGTTTGCCTGGAAGTCGGTCGGGAGTCTGAAGAAGCGCATTTTAACAATACTGCTTCCAGCTCCTCCTGTACTCCTCAGGTAAAGTCATTTAGCTCCAGCTTTCGGCAGTGAATAATCCTTTGGAGAAGCGGACGCTAAGTTCCCGATTTAAGATGCCTTGAAGGGGACTGATTTTCACAACGCAAGACATTGGCAAATAAGATCCTTTCTTTCACTGGCAAATAGACCTGGTTTTGAAGCATTTCAGGCTCTCACAATGTTGCTGTGCCTGTGTTTTACAGACACACCTGTATAAATACTTGTTTGCCCACAAAAATCACAGTGAGGTGTAAGGATGAAAGAACGTAATGCAAATCCAAGTGATTACTGGTTATTGCAGCACGGTTCTGCCACCTTCCTTAGACCGGGTTGAATGGGAATGTGGACAGGTAGAGAGTTCGGAATTGCAAAAAGAGAGAAAAGAAAGAAAAAGGAGTAGAAACTGAGGTGGCATGTTTCTTTTATTATTTCTAGTCATGATGCAGCATAAGGTCCAGAACCTTCTCCCTCCCTGCTGACAGACGTGTTTGAACTGGCAAGGCTTCAAGCTGGTATCCCCAGTGCACCAGTTAAACCAGTAGTTACCAATTTTTTTGCAAGCCACGCTGGGACTATAGGAATTTTATTCCTTCACAGTGTTGAAGGAAAGGGGTTTTGCTTGCCAAAGGGCTTTCTTATGCTTGAGGATGATTTATGGGCCAAGCTGAGCCACTTGTGGAAAAGGCAAAGCAGCTCTTGGCAGCACCCCCAGAATCCACTGCAGCTGTGGGGTAGTGAAGTCATCGGCATAACAACCACTGCAAACAGAATAACAAAGTCTGTTCTGTTCTCGTTTAAAATAATCTTTCCAGTTCAGCAACCACATTAAACCTTACCTTTCTGCATACAAAAATAATAAAAGACCGATAGTTCTCTGCAAGATGGCGTGAATGTCTCACTTATATTACTGCATATCACTCCTGCACCATCTACACTTTATCGGAGTATTTTAAATGGAGGAATGAAGCCACATTATGTCATAGTTTGTGTCTGTCCCTTGGTTTCACTCCTTTGTTTGTCCTTAGGTTTAAAAAATCAGAAACAAAACCCCGTGTTTGTTTCTTTCAAATACAAGATTTGTTTTTGCCTTATAACCTGTTTGTAAGCTGATTGCAAAATGAGTAATTCTGTCTTTGATTTTTCCTGCCTGTCTTTGTTTCAGGTCCCTTCAGATCCTCCTGCTTCCAAAAAGCCCAAAATAGATGACTCTGCTTCCCAATCTCCAGCTTCTACTGAGAAGGAAAAACAGTCCAGTTGGTTGCGGTCCTTATCCAGTTCATCTAATAAGGTGATTACTGAATATTTTGTAATCAAAAGAGAGATCAAACTAGCATGTAGCATTGCTCTACTGAAACCAGAAGAGGAGAGAAAGAACTTGCCCAGGTTTTCTAAATTAATAACATTTCTGTCCTTTTCCTAGTAAAGATTGAGCTCTGCAGTCCTCCCAGTTCCTTGCCATCTTCACTGACCCTGATTGTGACAGTGAAGTAAGCAATCCCCTCATGCCTTTGAGCTGCAAGAATCCTGCGAGACTCAGGAGCCTTTTGTGGTCTCTGCAAACTACATATAACTTATTGTCAAAGAAAAAAACGTGTGAGGTTTTACCATCAGTGCAGTTCACCTCTTCCAGTGGAATCTACTAAATAGTTATGCCCTAGCCGGTGGGGGAGTAGTTTCAGAGGTAATAGAATGTGTACTGAAAAGCGTCACTGGCACGCTGTTGTGATTTATAGTTGAAAAGATTGTTGGTATTTACTTATTTTTCTTGTCCCTTCTTCCCAGAGTATCGGCTGTGTCCATCCTCGGCAGCGTCTCTCAGCTTTCCGGCCCTGGTCCCCTGCTGTATCCGCAAACGAGAAAGAGCTCTCAACCCATCTCCCCGCACTGATCCGGGACAGGTACGGAGACGGGGCTGCGGGGAGGAGGGGGCTGGCAGCCGTGGAGATTCACTTCACAGCCAAGTCGCTTTATGTTTGTTCCCTTGCACTGTTAACTGGTGGCTCTGCAATTCAGTCAGGCAGTGTCAGATTTAAAAGCGTTTGCTGCTGCAGTGTTTTAACTTGCAGAAGGGAAACAAAAAAAGGTATCGATGTTTCGTGCATTCGTTAAATAGGTTTTCTTGCCATAAAAGTCTGAAGGCTGCTTCTATGAGCTTCTCATCACTTTGGGGTACAGGCCTCAGTTCTCGGGCCTCACTGTTTAAAGGAAGATTGAGTTACTCTCTTAGGGCAGGTGGTCAGGGACCAGCCAGCTATTTCCAGGCAACTGCCAGTTGGTAGCACCGGCCTGTCAGCGTGCAGCCGGCGCAGCTGCAACCGGCCTCTGGTGCTGAGAGTGCCACGGGAGGGCCAAGGGCTGAACGGGAGCGCAGGCTGCCCCGCTCCCTGGCCATGGCCAGTGGTCCTGGGGGCCCGGGAGGAGCACGGCGGGCAGGAGAGCAGGCAGAAAGCTGTAGGCCAGACCCTGCTTCAGATGGGAGCGTAATTAAACCGGTACGGGAATGAGTCACCACCCGTAATAGGTGGGACTTGCTGGTGTCACAGGACGGAAAGTGTCGGGGCAGTTACAGGTTCCTTTGCCAGACTGGAACTGTTCAGTCTGAAAAATCTTTGTGCCAGATTTCTGCCTGAGGGTAATGATTTCTTTGGAAAGTTTGACTAAAGTGACCAGGTGTTTTTAGGGAGTGTTATGGAGAACATATTTTGCTGCCCTTATGAACAAGTTTCGTAGAAGCCGTGGGGATTGATTTAATAAAACAAAAGGAAAAGAGAAGAAAGTCTACCAGCATATCCTTGCTTTTAAACAGACTTTTAAATTAGGTAGGGAGAGAAGGGCTAAACTGGTGTAAGAGTATGGTTATACCCTTGGTATCCCTGGGAGAAACCTGGCCAAGTTAAGTCTTGGGGGAAAAACCCACCTTCAGCAGCTTCAGGAGAAATTTTAATGTATCACTGAAGATACATAATGTGGTAGATGCTTACCTGAAGTTGCAGAGACCATCTTTGCAAAATTCTATGTATTTGACGTTACAATATTCCTGTCCTTTGACGCAGGTTTGTTGGGTTTTTAACTGGTTTTACATGCGCGCACTCGGATGCTGTGTCACAAAGTTAAAGATACACAAGAATATGCTTCTTGCACTCCCGTGGCCTTTCTTAAGGAAGTGCCGTTTCTAAGTTTACAAAACATCTGTGGATAGACAGAAGTAAAACTGTGCAGCTCAGTAAAACGATAATGCATGAGGATCATGAGGAAACATCATTATACGTTTTAGACCTTGGGAGATCCGATCTCTTCGGTGCTCTTAAGAGTATGTGGCACTTCGGATGCGATCCCTTCTGAACTGGAGGGAGATGAGCTGGGTAAATCATCTCCGTGTTTAAAGAGTGCAAAACACTGAGCAAATAGATAGGCACATTCTTAGCTGGTGTAAGCCAATGGAGCTTCACTGTCATTCCGTTGTCTTGCAGTTTCCGTGCAACACATGGATTGGGAAGCATTTCAAAGCCAAGAGTATGACTATGTTCTCCTTCCTTTTGCTTCCCCCCCCCGCCCCAAACAGTTTCTACTCCTACAAAAGCTTTGAGAATGCTGTGGCCCCCAACGTGGCGCTTGCACCTCCGGCCCAACAGAAAATTGTGAGCAACCCCCCCTGTGCCACAGTGGTGTCCCGGAGCAGCGAGGCCCTGAGCAGCACTGTCCAGCCGCGGAAAAGAAAACTTGCTGCTGAGAACACGGCTCTCCCCGAGCCAGCCGCCACTGTCGCGGCCACTGCTACTGCCACCGAAGAGGATAAGGAATCAGAAGCAGAAATTGAAGTAGAAACCAGGGAAGAATGTAAGTGACAGTTATATCTGCCTTTATTTTCCTTTATTTCTGCTGGATTTTCCTTAGTAATCCACAGGAGTTGCTGCTCAACTTCTCTTGTGTTTAAATATAATTCTGGAAGCCTTAATACCTCAATGGGATGTAAAAATACAACCTCAAGTAATAATGAAAACCAAGAATGGAACATAAGGGGGGGGGGGGATTTTCCTGAGAGAGGAACGTGCCTTGACAAAAGGAAGCACCTGAACCACAGGTGTCCACTAACCCAGAGTCTTAAAGGAGGCAAATGTTGTGCAGAGGACAAAGTGTACGTGGTGTTCACAGGAACACTGACGGTTTGCTATCTGATCGAGAGCTTCTATAAAAGCCTTTGCGGGATGCACACAAATAGCCTGTAAAAATTCCAGAGCGTGCACACGTGCAAGTGTGGAATTTTGTGTCAGACAAAGAATGTGGTCACACAGTTCCAGTACAGCATCTGTGGAGCTGAATATGTCAGGCAGAGATCAAGAGCCCGTCTGTTCTGAAGCAGTGTTCTGGCGTCGGGCAGCTCGGGGAAGGGTGAAGGAGAGCCCCAGTCCCCTCATTCCTGTCACCTGGGTGATCCTGCTGCTGCCCTTGCTCAGTGCGTGCGGTTCGTGCAAAAAAAAATAAACTGCCCACTGAAAACAGCAGGATCATGCAGGTTTCCCTGAAGAAATCTGTTGCTTCACACCCACAGAGACATAAATTCCAAAGTCACAATTCAGGCAAATTGTACGTTGGTGCCTTTGGTCAGGCAGGTTTGCATTTTCATCCCATTTCAAGTATCAGAGTGTTATCTCTCCCCCATTTTTTTCATGGAATATTGAGTATCTCCTCTGCACGAAAGGGCTTCAGCATATTTTGAGTTATATTAATTTTAGACATTTTTAAAATTAATTTCCGATGTTTCTGTTTTTCAGTCACCTCCTCCTTATCCTCGCTCTCCTCCCCATCCTTTACTTCATCCAGCTCTGCAAAGGACATGAGCTCACCTGGGATGCAAGCCCCAGTCGCAGTCAGCAGTTCATACGAGGTTGCAACACATTCTGACTCTCACAGCAGCGGGCTGGAGGCTGAGCTGGAGCACCTAAGGCAGGCCCTGGACAGTGGCCTGGACACAAAAGAAGCCAAAGAAAAATTCCTCCATGAAGTTGTTAAAATGAGAGTGAAGCAGGAAGAGAAGCTAAATGCTGCCTTGCAAGCCAAACGCAGTCTACATCAGGTACTGTTGAAAACCAGCTTTCTCTTACCAGTGTCTGCAAATACTCTTCCAGGTAGAAGCCATTAGGTAGTCTCACGTAAACCAGAATTGCCTCATTTTTCCCAAATAGCAACAGCCCGTACTGGGGTACTGTTTGTAAATTCAGCAGAGAAACCAAATTAATACAGGAACCATTCCTACATTTTTAAGCTTGCCACCTGTTTTTGTCTTGGGGTATAAATCCATGGTTACCAAAATCAACATCTTTTCATTACTGAAAAAAAAAAAATCTTCTAGTCCAGCACAGTTTTTTTTGTTTTCATTTCACTGAACTAGAAACGTTTCTGTCCTTATGGAGGCTTTATTTGTAGTTTTAAAAGATTGGTGAAAATCCTGCTGTTGCCCCGCGGAGGGAGGGTGTTCCTGGGACACAGGAGGCACTTGCTGAAGCTCCACTGAGGAGCTGAACTGCAGCTCTTGAAGCGTCCCGTTAAGCCAGGCTTTGTGAAAGGTTCCTGCCTCATTCAGTGGAGAAGCTCCTTCCTTCTGGAAATCCCCAAACATCCATCGTATCGAAGAAAGAGTGGACAGGCAAAAAAAGAGCCGCAGATCAATACTGGCCATTAACAAATCCCCGTGGCTGACCAGAGCGGTGGGTGAACTTTCTGTGGAACGTGGATATGGCAGAGAGTGAGTGAGGACGTGTCGGCTTCGAGGGGGGTGTGTGGAGCTGTGGCCCAGCTGGAAGTGCAGCCAAGGGCCGTGTCCCATCCAGCACGGGAGAGACTCGGGTGCAGGGTCTCCTCAGCTGGCACAAGGCGTCTTGTTTAGTTGGAAACAAAGGGCAGAGGCTCACAGACAGGATTTGCATCCAATATGGCTCCTGCATTTAAAAACCCACCCAAAACCCGTCCCCAAACCCCCAGTAGTAGATTCAGGTATTCTACTAGCAGGCAGGAGGAGGCGAAGGAGAGACTGTGTAAGTGTGGAGATACTGTCACGATTAGAGTTTTAACAGAAGTTTGCCAACTGGGATTTTGGTGAGCCCCCGCGGGACGGAGGCTCCTGAGGTACCGGCTGCCGGTCCCGTCCCAGGGAGGGGAGCCCGAGAGCGCTCTGCCGCAGGTCTGCTGCTTCTGTGTCCCCTTCAGCAAATCACTCCATTCCCTTGCATTTCAGTAAATAGATGCTTTATTTTATGTATTTATAAGTAAATATTTATAAGTAGTATATATTTAAAGCTAATTTTTAAATATCTAAACCAAATCCACAGTGTGTAGTCGAAGCGGGAATGACATGTGGAGAGTTGCTGAAGCAGAATTGAGTGTCGAGGCGTTAAATCAAGCAACATGTCAGAGTGAGAGGGAAGACGGTATCTGCCCATCGTGTTCCACGGGGGCAGCTGCGGGTTTGCAGTTCCACAGGCAGAGAAAGTGCGTGTGTGCGCTTCCAGGGCGGCGGGGCTGAGCTAACAATGGCCTGGCTGGGAAGTGAGATTGTCAAAAGAGTGAATTTCCCATGACCCGACTGCAGTGTTACTTAACAGAAACACGTTGCTGTGAGGGTTTGACTCTGACAGAGAGGAAATGCTGCTTCTAGGGGGAAAAAAAATAATTTGAACTTTAGTTTCTAATTTAACCGTTTAGGAGACAGACCGTTAGTGAGTCACATTGTTGTGCTTAGGATAAAGCTGTTTTTTAACAACAGCTTCTTAACAACTTCACCGTTTCTTCCTTTGGACCTTCAGGTTCCTCATCATTAGTGCCTCGATTAATGGCGCTCTCTTGCATTTGCAATTTCAAGGTGGCAGCTCCTAGTAAGAACCTGGACAGTGAAAGTGGCAATTTCCAGAGCAAAGCATGGTTTCGATTTAGCTTAAGGTTTCAGCCTGGAGTTTTCCAGCTGCTGTGACAGAGCAGTCCATTGCCTTGGTTGCCAAGAGACTTGGGGCTTCACACCAGTTACCGGTAGCAAAACAAAATTGCCTCGAGTTAGAAAGAAGGTACACGGTTTGGTTTTTCTCCTACTTGCCCTAAATGGATTTCTGGGGGCTTGATAAAATGGAACTGCTTATACCGGTTTCTCCAGCAAGTGGTAAACTTTCTCGTTGAGCTTCGCTGTACACAAAGGACATTCACAAACTGCATTTGTCGTAATGTTGTGTATCTTCAGTGGCTTCAATTAAAAGTGCAGGCATTACAGTTGGTTTGCTTGGAACTTCGAGCTAGTGCAGAGCACGTTGCTCGTAGCTCTCTCCAACTGCAGTTCATCTTTATTCAGTCACAGATGGTCACAGCTATTTTGCTTGACAAAGCAAAATGTGGCTGTAGCGTACAGCTTTTTATTATCCAAGAATTCAGGGTATCTTGAGTGTAGGATCTCATGTTGATTTAAAGGAGAAGAGCTTGTACAAAGCTCTGAATGAGGTTTAGACATGAGCTGCCTTGGTCGTGACCAACAGGAGGTGGAAATTTAGTTTGGATCGTTTCCTTCACAGTTCTGTTTCCTTGCACTAATTCAGTCTCTGCTCCTCAGTTCTCACAAGATAACTGCTCTGTATTCTAGGAACTGGAGTTCCTAAGGGTGGCTAAGAAAGAGAAACTGAGAGAAGCAACAGAGGCGAAGCGCAACTTAAGGAAAGAGATTGAACGTCTGAGAGCTGAGAACGAGAAGAAAATGAAGGAAGCCAACGAGTCTCGGATACGACTGAAGAGGGAACTGGAACAAGCCAGGCAGATCCGGGTGTGTGACAAGGGCTGCGAAGCGGGCAGGCTGCGGGCCAAGTACTCGGCCCAGGTAAGACCCGAGCGCCGAAAGCTCCGCCGGGGGGGTGAGCTCCCCACTTCTGTCCGTTTTGTGTCTCCTGCCCCAAGCCCAGCTCCTGTTTGCTGTGTCTCTGCCCCCCCCAGCTGCCAGGGCGCGGCGTTCCCCACGCTCCGGCCCATGGCTCCGCCTGGAACCGCGTGTCTGTCACTTGAAAAATCACCATTTACCCAGAAGTCAGAGAAATGTGAAACTTTATTTCAGCCCCACTAAGGCTCCGCTGGCACTGCCAGTGCTCAAGGATCCATTTCGGTTCTGTAAATATTGCGCAGAGCCACTTCTTGAATAGTGTTTTCCTTGAAGATCAGCCCAGCCCCACAGGAACTGTTTAAGACAAGAGAAGCGACCGGGGCCCCTCGGTAGGCGAAGGGCAGTGCTGGGCAGGAGGTTTTTTTACCTGTTTGCAGGTACAGAGCACCAGAGCAGCAAACCCTCAGCTCCCAGTTTGAGCTCAGTGAAAGTTCTAGGAATGCAGGAACATGTTGTTACAAGCAACACGTATGCTTTAAACTTTCCGCCTAAAAATCCCTCCCTGCCCTTCCCGCATCAGATCCTTTATTAGTTTGTTCAAACCACTCAGAGCCGAGTGACCCAAGAGCTGGGGCTGCACATCCTGACGTCGTGTCCCGGGGCTGCAGGTCACGCGCGGCCGCGCGCTGCTCCAACCCCTCAGATGACCCAGGAGAGGGGGCTGAGCTCAGAGCACAACACCAGCCTCCTGGGTTTCCGTGAGAACCAGCCCGGAAGAGGGATCCACTGCATGCCCTGCCTTCCCCTTCCTCCAGTGAAACAATCCCAGGTGCCCGGTCATGTGTTTCCTCCGAAAGGGCACAGTCCCACACCCGCCCTTAACCCCCCAAACCTCCCCTCCAGCTCTTGTCCTTGCCCTGGCGGCCTCCCCTGCTCTTGTCTGACCTGATTGTCCCTCTGCAGCCTCTGGCCCTATCGCAGCTTCCCACGCTGAGAAATGGGTGAATGAAGGCAAAAGGGCAGGGAGCGTTAACAGGAGGACTCTGAAAAATGGGGTCCACTTGCCTGAAGTCAAACTCCTACAGCAGAGGTTGAGCACTCAGCTCCAAGTGCCACGTGGGTGTCACCTGTTTGCAGGCTCACTGTAACGACCCCTCTGGAGCACGTTTCCTGCAGCACCTTCTCTGCCCTGCACCTTGTCACACACAGGTGCTCTGCGACGGCATCCTGGGACTGTTCGGTGGGGTCACTTTAAGGGAGGGGGGAGGGAAACAAAAAGCAATAGCAATCAGAAATTCTTCTAAGCCCGGGCTCTCAATGACGGGAAGGGGAGTGGTCGGCGTGTACCACCCTGAGACACGTCTCACCCCGGGCCCAGGAGCAGGAAATGATGTGGGCTTCCGCTCTGGCATCACAGGATGTCTCGCTGATAAGAGGTGTCCAGACTAAACAGAACCAGATTGAGCGCGGCTGCACTGGGCGTTACCGGCGGTTGACTTCCACCGAGGGGAAAAAAAAAAAAACAAACCACCACCCACGAGGCAGCAGCAAGTGCAGATAAGAGTCAGTGCTGCTTGTCCCAGGCAGCGCCCAGCGCCTCCTCCCTCCCTCTGCGACACACACGAGGGTTTGTGACCATCAGCATCCTCGGTCTCCTGCTCCATTCCCTCCTCGGGAGGGAATAAATGAGGTTTCCTGATCTGAAAGGCTAAAATCACCTCAAAAAGAATTCAGGCAGCTGAATATTCTACAGATTGGTCTTTTCTAATGACCCTAGTGGCACAGGTGCAGTGTCAGCCCCAGGGCTTTTCCAACACCTGCCTCGGAGATCAGGGCACAGCCCGTGGTGGAAAAGTACCTTAAGTTACTTCAGAATCTGAATTCTACACAATATCAGTCTGACTTGAGTTCTTAAGTTAGTCATCTAAGAAATCCTGAAAGAAAGCTTTCTACAGGCTTTATGTCTTTAATTTGGAGGGCACACAGGAAGGTTGTTGCTCACGTTGTGTTCATCACTCCTTAGTATTTTTGAGGAAACCACAATTCTCTAGACAGGCGTAGTCAGAGATGGCATTAGGCAACCATCAGCGGAAATCAGGGTATGAATGTCCTTGTGTGAGCAAAGTATTAGATGCTTCAATAGCTACTGAGTATCAGTGGGCTTTATGCTTTTTTCTTACTTGATACTGAGATCCAAAACCAGACGAGGCAGGGAGTTAGCCCTTATTTCAGCCCAAACCATAGTTTTCCTTTCCCTTGTTCAATAGCATCCCTTGAGAACTGCCCATCTTGCCCATTTGTGGCTAAAATTGTGTATTTTAAGTGAGTGCAGTTTTTCTGTTTACAGCTTGAATTGTGGGGCTTTTCTCTGCCTTCCTTAGCAGCAGAAAACAGGAAGATGGAGGAGCGAGGCCTTTGGGGAGGCTGAGGCCGCCCACGTGTCCTGATGCAGGGCGAGGGCAGGGACCTTCCAGGGCACCTGGTACACGTGGTTCTTTGGCTCCATTTGTGGGCAAAGTCACTGCACGCTCAGCCCCTTCAGTCCCCTCCTGCCCTCCCCGGAGCAGCTGCTTAGTGAGGAGGTGAAATGGTGCCATTAATTGTCACGGCCTCCCCTTGCCCTCTCCTTTGACAACCTTAGTGCTGGAAGTACACAGTTCTCCCTTTAACACTAAGTCTACAAAATCACCCTGGAGCCGAAATACTAAAATAGTTCATGATGTTTGTTCTGTGCTTTCCTCCAGATCGAGGACCTACAGGTGAAGCTCCAGCACGCGGAAGCTGACAGGGAGCAGCTCCGAGCTGACCTGATGCATGAAAGGGAGGCTCGGGAACACTTGGAAAAAGTAGTCAAGGAACTTCAGGAACAACTGTGGCCTAAATCAAGCAGTCAGCCCGGCAGCGAAAACACAGCGAGCAACATGGAGAACTAAAGCACCACCACCTCGTCTCGTACACACCCAGGCTGGCCTGTCTGCACAGTAAGGGAGGACGTGTGGGGTACGTGTGTAAGTGCATGTGTGAGTAGTTGTGTCTTGGCACACAGACCTAGGAATATGGATTCGTAGTAGTTGGAAGGCAAATGTTACTCGTTATAACAGAAGCACTGAATTACGCCTCTTTTTTTTTTTTCCCAGTCCATATAGCACAACGTCTTACTGTGCCTATAAAACACAAAGTGTTTATAAACAAAATACTTTTAAGTCCACAGCAAATTTTCTACTGGCAAACTCCAAGCAAGCAGCATCGTCCAACTAAAATCAGAGTCAAAGGCGAGCATGGCCGTGTTTTTATGTTGCCCTTCTGCCTGTTGGGACATTTTGGAATTTAAAAAACAAACAAACTTTTCTTATAAGCTATTTAAAATAATTCATTACACAGACTTGGTATTAAAAAATTAACAAGATTTTTATAATGAACCTTTAAAAGCAAAACAAAAGAAACCTTCGATGCACAATTTTTAAGGACTTGTTATAGGCGCTGGGATTCTCCACGTAGAAGCCCTCTGGTGATGATGCCATTTCATTAGCAGTTTTCCAGCCATCTAGGAAGCCATCACAGTTCTAAGCCCGTCACGTGGTTGTATGAATTTCCGAGTACTTTTCAAAGTTGATTTTTTTCCTTAGCAAGAATTATCTTCATTTCCTGTCCTGAACACAAGAAGAAAGGAAGATGCAGGATTGTAAAGGGGGGAGGGGAATAGGTATGCTTTAGAATTACAAACCCAGCCTTACAGACCCGTGTTTGCAACTCACACCATCTTTTCTAAAGACATCTTCATTAATTGATGTGTTCAAAAGACTGACTTCATCCAAGAGCACTTCAGCTTTAGGAAAAGACAGATGGAAATAAAAGAAGGAAATGGATGATCTGTTAAGTTGGTTGAGAAATAAAGCAGAAGACATACACGTTCTGAAGTCATTCTGAAATCTTACTTCAGCTTTCAGTTTTCTGGAAGACTCATCTTTGTTGCACCATCTTACCATAAATTCAGTATTTACCTGCTTTTATTATGAACTGTCAGTCAGGATTTCTGTGCCCAAGGAGAGTGCAACATCGCATTACCGGATACTACAGAAAAGAAAAAAACATTTTTGCTGCTGTGAATAAGCCTACATCGTTTTTTTTTTTTTTAAAGAAAAAAAAAACTTTTTTGTTTTTAAAAAGAGAAATTACTTTAATTTTGGGATCCAAGCCGCAGCCCTGGAATAAAAATGCAGCATGCCATCACGTTGTCTTATTGTTGGTGTTGTTGTTGTTGTGTTTTTAAAAAAAAAAAAAACAAAAAAACAAAAAAACCCAAAAAACAAACTGCACTTTGTCAGAATCTTACTCGGCATTTTATTCCATATTTCTAAAGTTTACAAGTTGAGCATTCTAGAGCCCACCCTGCCTGGCAGCCGGGACACGGAGGTTTGTGCAGGAGGAGGGTGCAGCGGGGAGCGGCTCCCCCCGCGGAGCAGAGCGGAGCGCAGCACCGCACCGCGGGGGCTCCGCAGAGACCCTCCCGCCAGCGCTTCACCAGTAAAGTTGGTGCTTTCCGGAACAAAACAAAACAAAAAATAAAGTTATTTTCACCCACAAACACTCACCTCTTGTACACTCAAGCTTATCAGCATGAAGTGAAAATTTGATCTGGGGCTGTAGATGTGCCTTCCAGCTCATTTTTCCTCTCAGCATCTTATATAGGCAATGCTGACACTTTTTTTTTTTTTAACCTTAAAGAATAAAAAGAAAAAAAAAAAAAGAAAACCCTATGCATCGTCATACACAGAAGTTATTCTAAACGAAGAAACATATTTCCAGTAATCTTTATTTGCTTTTGGACATTAATGCAAACTATGTAAGCTTAAAAATTATTTCCCAGTAGACAGAAAGCGGCTTCCAATCCTAAAATTATAGTATTTACTTACAGTACATTAGAGAGATTTTTTTTTTTTTTTTTTTTTTTAAACAAGAGCTGTTTGCTTGAAACCATTATAATAACCATTATAATAACTGTGAGCATTAACAGAGAAGTTCATATATATGTTTTAGGTACAAAAAGAAGAAATATGAAAGGAGTAGAATTACTGGGACAATGTCAAACTGTTGGGAGCAAGAAACAGTGACACCAAGTAAATGACATGAAACTGTCCGTTCCTGCAGGGGCTTGCCCTTGTGTTTGGGATGCTGGAGACTGAGTCTAGGTGCAGCTCTCCTCTTCTAAAGTGCAATGCAAAAGGAATTTTGATTATGCTTAAGCAGGTTTTTTTAATGTGGTTTGTTTTTTTTTTTTTTGCTTCTTTGTATGGTTTTTTTTTTCTGCGATTATTAAATCATATGCATGGAATTAAAATCTCTGCCATACGTATACTCATTAATGGGCATTATTACTGTCTTATGTAAAGGGTTTATTTTGTTATGCGGTATGCATAAAAATGTTCTCAGCCTTATGATTTCCAGATCTGTGTTATTCACTTATTTCTTCAAGGGAAACTAAATCATTTTAGCCATAGTTGATCATTGTGCATTTCAGAGTCTCATGTGCTACGCTTCACTGCCATGTTAAGAAATTACACATAGAACAAATGTATTCCCACCCCCACTGCCAGCTGCCTGGCAGCTTTTTACTTTCTACACTTTGTTTGGGTTTTTCCCCCTGATCTTTGGTGGTGTCTCTCCCCTTAGGACTCACCAGAAACCAGCAGCACGGCCACCCCGCTCTGCTCTCCGAGGCAGAGCAGCCCCTTACCCACAGCACGTGACCTAGTTCTTCTTTCTTGCGTGTCTGGGGAAGGTACCGAGGCACCAGCGCAGCTTCTTCCGTGCACAGGGCACTTTTATCCTCCAAAATTAGTGAAATCTGCATTTATTTTTTTTTCCCCAAGGAAAAACAGAACCGTTAATAATCTTACCAATAGTCTTGTCAACCAACCAGCGCCTCCTGCGCTTCACACGTAAATGGGATGAGATTCACAAGACAGAAATCTCCAAAATAAAGTTACAAAACCACGGTTTCCCCTTCTGCCACACATTCCGGTAATTCTGTCAGGTGTCACGTGTGACAAATTCACTTGACACTGTCTGAGGTTAACACTCAGTCATGTTTGAACCTTGGGAGGGAAAACTTCCTCGTAAAAATGTTTCTGTAAATTAAGGTGTAAAGTCTGTAAGATTAAATAAGGTGCAAGACGACTGGGAACAACGTTCTACACCAGCAGTTAATCAGCAGGAGAAGTTTACAGGATCAGAGTCTACCTTAAATAAAATGTATTTAGGAAGGACAAAATTAACCATAAAATCCTCATTTCTGCGGAATACACAATTTATTTCCAATTCGGAGTTCCCATGCAGGTATTTTTAAAATTGCCAGGGGATGGCCACAGAGACACTAATTCTACAAAACGGCCGTCAAAATGGTGGGAAGCTTCAGAGCAAAAAAATGTCACGAAGGTGCTTACGGTGAGGGAGTTCTGTGTGTAATTTCTGTGCGCAGGTCGTCAGCAACCCCCGTGCGGGGAACGGCTTCTCCTTCGGCTTCCCGCCGAGTCCCGGCCCCGGCCCCCAGCGTAGGAGCTGTAGTGTCACATCTTCTCATTTCATCTGCTCTTTAGTTTCCTTTAAGAAGTTAAAAGGGAGAAGAGGTGTTTCATACAGGCTGTTGACTCTCCCTGTACTTAAAAATATATTACTTAATACTTGTATATTCAGTTTAATTACTCATTGTTTCTATTACTGAAAGAAGACTTAACGAAGGGAAAAAAAAAACCAACAGCAATAACATTCATATCTATGGAGCAGCTAACTAGTATACATAATATTCTGCTTTTCAAACAGAACTAGCCAATGTAAAAAAAAAGTTAAAAGTAAATTCAACATGTAAATACTTTTTTTCATTTTACACTGTTGTATTATAAGTGTATATGGTGTTTACTTTTTCAAAACTCTTTCTTACCTGGTAGTTGTCTTGTTTTATGAGTTGTGTTTTTAACTAAGAAGAACCTTTGCTGTCTGTTAGGAAAAACAAAACAAAATCTTTTTGCAAGTTTTAAATGTGGGTTAACCTTTCTCCATCATTTGCATTTTATTTGTCCTTATTTTCACTGTAAAGTATTTTATTACCAAAAGGTTGATTCTCTTTCCATTCTGCCCTCTCATCAGTCCATGTGTTTTAGAGAGAAGTTTTTTGTTGGTTGGGTTGTTGTTTTATTTTGGTTTTGTTTTTTTTTTTTTTAATCAAAAGAACTCACAGAAATGACATTTTTTCAATTGAAGAAAAATAAATCTTTACATTTATAATAGCCAATAGCATTTCAGCACATTTTTGTTATCCTGGTCTCTCCTATGCTGCTGCTAATGACAATATTATGACTTACTCTACTATTCTAGAACTATTTTTATGTAAGTAATGTATGCTTTCTTGTTTATAAATGCCTGATTTAAAAAAAAATAAGAAAAAAGCTTGGCATATTTATCTATTTCGCTGTGTACCTTGATAGTCCTTTTCCACCCCCTTTTCCACATCCCCTCCCCTTGAAGCAGATAATATTGTAAAATAAAGGACTTTATGAGATTATGTATGAAAATAGCTATGCTTATATACCACAGTGACTGAATGTACAGTGTATAGACGCATTACCTAAAATAAAATTGTTTGTCCAGAAAAAAAATAACTCGCTATGGCACGTTTGTTGAGTTTTCTGTGGCCCAATCCTTCAGGCAGGCAAACAGAGACCTACAGGTGCTCCTGTTTGAAACAGCAGGACTTGTCAGATTTAAGTTAAACACCATGAACTTGGAGAAGCCGCTCTGCCCGCAGGGACACGCGGGAGCGACGCCCTCGCTGCCTCGCCTTCTCCTCCCGGGTCGCACACGTGAAGGTGCCTGAAGCCCCACCACGGGTAACAGCAGCGGCGGCAGAAAACGCCGCCTTAGGCCAGTGCTGGGAGGGAAGTCCAGCCTCAGAGTCAGACTAGGGAGGTGCTCCTGGGCAGGCGGCCCGGTGACCCTCCGGAAGGGTCAGAGATGGGCGACGCCGCTCAGGCCGCCACGGCACGGCACAGCCGGGAGCCAACGGGCCGCGGGAGAGAGAGAGAGTTACAGGCGGGTTTACTGCACACGCCTCCAAGGGGGGTTCATAAAGCATCTCCAAGCCCATCTCCAGTTGTGAGATCAGGTAACTTACCCACACCCCCATCCGCTCACAGACACCCCTGCTGATAACGAGCCCCTTTGTCTATAGGTGGAAGTAGCATTAAAGTCTCTCAGATGTCGGTGGGAAGCTCAGGTTTCCTGCCCCGTTTTTTCTGGTGTCCCAAAGCCAAACCCTCTGGGACACACCAAAAACCCCACCAACAGCCCCTTGTTCCTGGGCAGCCCAGCACTCAGCCTCTCTGCGGCATCATTTCAGCAGACCCTCCCTTTCAGGTCTGCACGTGACAATTTTGGAAGGAAAAACGGAATTTAATTGCAAACGACGCCCAGCACTTTGTGGGGAAATTCTAACAACGGAGTGAAATTTCAATAGCGAGAATTCTAGGCATATAAAAGTTTGCATCAGGTCAGAGAAAAAGAAATACAAGAGGGGGGGAAAATGTAAAAAGCAGAAGATGGAAACATATGTTAAAGTAATTCTCTCATGGTTTTCTGAGAAATGGCTGCAGAATTTCCACAGCTCTGGTACATTTCTTAACATGCCCTTGTAAAACAGTGGAAAAGCCAGAGAATGATCGAACAGCTTCAAAAACCCAAACTCCACTTGCTCTCAGTGACTCAGAGCAGCCCTGCTCTCCACAGGGCCGCTCTATTTCCTGTCCTACCACCTGGGTATTAGCAGCGGGCAAAGCCAAGCTGAGCTGCCGTCTCTTTCTCCGAGAAGGTGAAACCTTGTGCAACCCTCCTGGCCCGTCCCGCTGACACGAAGCCATCGCTCTTCGCTGCCGACACCTAACCCTAACCCTAACCCTAACCTAAAGGAGTTCCTGGCACCTTTCTCTGGGGCTCTGATCCCTTCGGTCGCCTGTGAAAGCAGCACTCGGTACCAAACCCACTTCTACCCCTCTGTGACTCCAGAGGACACTTCGGAGTGTTGGGAATCAGAGATCACTTCATTCTCCTGCGCCCAACAAGTGAGAAAATTGAAAAAAAAAACCAACCAACAAACAAAACCAAAACAAATTGGTGCATTTGCTGGAAATGAAAAGACGTGTAGAAGCCACAGTGGCCCAGGAAGTGTCGTGGGGAGCAATTTGGTTTTGGAGCAAAAGATTCCCATAACAGCTTGATGACAAAAACTTCCCTTGGAAAAAATGAGAGTAATAAGATGATGACAAAGGGTTAACAGTTAACTTCACACACACACTCTAAGTAACATCTCGACACAATTAACTTGAAAGCGCACAAAGAGCCGTGGAAGGACTGTCATGGGCCAACCGACCCGAATTCAGAACCAAGGCCGAGTCAGGTCCTGGAGGTCACAAGAAGTGAACAGAGATTCGGACCCTGCAAACACTTCCCCTGCGGCCAGGCAAGGGCACAGAGCCCACGTCAAAAGGGCGTGTGCCTCCCGCATGTCTCCAGCCTTGACAGGTGGGATGCAACCGCATCAGTAATCCCCGCCCCCAAATGACCAGCAGCAAAATGATTTTTTCACCCATTTTGGGGACCAAGTAGAATCAGAAAGCTTTTAGGTCTAAACGCAGGTCCAGATCCTCCACTTGTAAAAAGATCCTTGTACCCCCTTATACAATTCATGCGCATCCTTTCACTTGTAAATCTCTGTTATTTTGGTTTCTCAAATTAAAAACAAAAGTTCAAATAGCTTTCCTCAACTGACAATTATCTTCTGTAGTTGAAGTACACAGCTGACAAACCTTTTAAGTTTTCTGATACAGTTAAGCAATACACTTCAAGTAACTTTGTTCCACAGATTTTCTACACAAAAAATAGGTCTGAAGAGACCAGATTGCCAGCTACTTTCAGGAAGACCAGCTGTATTTCTGTCAGCACATAACATCGATGTTTTCTCTGAAATTTTTAGTATCTTTGGAAATACCCCATTTTGGAGAAAAATGGCTTTAAAGAAAGGAAGATGTTGTCATATCACAGGGGGCAGGAGTCACACTCCTAGCTCTTTAAAGAATTCACCAGCTCATTTTCTTATGATGAGAGTTGAATTCAATTGGAGGAATAATTCCTTCAATTAGGAACACGGGGAAAAACTTCCAACTTCATCTACCCTTCCACAGCAAATCCATAAATTAACCCAAATTCACACAAATACAGATCCTACTACCCCTACACTGATAAAAGAACACTTCAAAATCATTATGCAGGGAGACAAAGACAAGATACAGATTTTTCCAGACCACAAAAACGGCTGCCAGCAGACTCGACACCCAGTGCTGGAGCCGCAGCCGCAGGCCAAGGTTTGGTAGGAGCAGCCCTTCCCGGCAGGAGGGGGCCATGACCCCCAAGAACGGGGCGTAGCTTTGCCGCTCAGACAGAACTGCCTCCGTATCGGCCCTGCCTTGCTGTCAGTTGCCAACGCAGGTAAGGAGGCCGTAGCGCTTCCAGAGCTTTCGAAAGGATTTAGGAGTAAACCTTTTTGGTTTAGTTTCTTTCTAAAGTTAGCTGAGGCTAACTTGGAAACAAGGCTTGGCCTCACACATGGAAATCTCTGATGCCTGCATCCAGCTCTCCGCTAGGACTGGACACCTTCCTTATTCTTGGACTAGCCCTCCTCAGCTATCCCAAATTTCTCTGGCTACTCTGTATTCTAGAAGCTTTCATTTAACTGACCTAGATTACAAGCACAAACACACAAAGAAAAGAGGTTTTTTTTTTTCATTTGCCTCCACCACCACGTCGAACTCAGTCAAGCCTTTCAGATGGGAGACGTGTACTTGAGGTGCCACAGGAGTTATGGGTAAATTTCGGCAAAACTTGAAAAGACCCATAAAATTACAATGTATTTTTGGTTGCGGGTTTTTTTGGTGGTGGTGTTTTGTTTTTGGTTTGTTTTTTTTTTTTTTTCTAACTGGCTTATACATAACTCCAAGAATCACACAAAAAAATCCCAGAGCTTCTAATTTGCCAGCTACAGCTGTGTATCAAGGACGCCGGTTTAATTTGACATTGTAAATTAGGTGTTCAGAAGTGGTTTGTGACTCTGAACAGACAGCTGGGGACACAGAGAGGAGCTGTATTTTCCAAAGGCATGAAGTCAGGTGCCCGTCAGAGAGTTTCTTACTGGGCAGCAAGAAACTGAGATGTCCAAAACACTCATAAAATGCTTTTGTTCTGCTCCATTTTTCTCACCTTTTCTGGATTTTTTTTGACAGTCTTTCTTTTGGCAACCCACCTCCACTGAGGCAGCTGCAGTTCAGGCACAGGTCACCGCTCCCTCCTGCCTTCCCCAGCCCTCACCCGAGATGCCCGGCCCATTGCACAGCCCGGCCGCGCAGGACAACGGCTCCTTACAACACCGGGCAAGTCACAGATCGTGACAACCGGAAAGCAAAGCAAAGCAGTTTCTTTGGCATTGCTTGTTCAACAATTAAACAAAGAGTTAATGAAGAACTGTTGGTCTGCTTTGAGGACATAGATCCATAGAAATTCTTATTGCCTGACGCGCTCTGTTAAACCACACAGCACTTGTGACTGTTCGAGGAACCTGCCTGTGTCCAGAGCAGCACCTTGCACTGAAGAGATGAGCCACTTCTCCTGGCGTTACTTCTTGGTGACTGACTTCTCATGCTACTCCTGTTACAGAAACAGGATATAAAACCAGATTTGGATTGATGGGTCTTAATAGCAGAGGCTGAAAACATCTGTCACCAAGGCGCTCTGAGTGCAACAACACACATTGGTAGGAAAGACCAGCCAAGCTCCTTGTGTTTACGATTAAGGGGGGGAAAATCCTAGTTACTCTGCCAGAATGATTTTAATTTACTTAATACAAGAACCAAAATACTAGGAATCAGACCGGAACCTACTCAGTTGAATACTTTTGAGTACCTCCAAAACCAAAAGGGCATTCACCTCGTCACTACACTGAGGACTGGCACGGTGTTTCCTCCTTCCACATCCTCAGAGGAAGCTATGTGAAGGGAACAGCACCGGAGGAAATATTTTTGCATATACTGGCTGTCAAGTTGTTTAAAATATATGTTGTATATTGCAAGAAGTCCTACAGGTAAGTTCACTACTGGTCAATCAACTGGTTATAACCTATTTTGACCATCCCAACAAACTTTCATTCAAACAGGAACAACAAAGAATGAGGGGGAAAAAAAAAAAAAAGCTTGAGCTGAACTCAGAGTATCAATTGATCTCAAATTATTTTTATTGTGCTCGGGAAGAACGGATCCCTGGATTTTTGGCTGGGGACTGGGCTACAGCTTACTGAGCTGGGCCGATTCTTTGGCCATTCCGATTCCCCGTAGGAGCTTGCCCGAGGTGCTCAGGTAACGTACAGAGAAACCTGACTCATGGAACTCTCAGCTTAATTTCACAAAGTAGAAATAGTTAAAGAGTCTAATAGAGGCCCCAGCCCCCTCTGCGCTCAGTTCTCTACACACACAGTGAGCTACCTTCCACTCCCACCCCAACAAACTTTCATTCAAACAGAACAACAAAGAACAGAGGGGGAATCAACAGCGAAGTG